ACTGTTTAAAGTATACATACCTTTTAGCTAATAAATGAACAGGGGGTCTTATGGTGAAAAAAAAAATGGAAGGAAAGCTGCAATTGTCGTTACATTCGTCTGTCTTTCACTTTCATAACACCTATTATTTACAGCATGTGATACTTCCTTCCGTTAGACAGCCATCGTTGCAACCGTTTATCAATGCTGTGGTCAGCGATTGCTAAATTAAACGCTATTTCAAACGTTTCAAATAATCGATATGACAATTTTTTAGTTAAGCGACGAAGATTTCAAAAATTCACTCATGACCTTGAAGATATACGAAACTCGTTTTAAAGACATTAAGGTGAGTAACAACGATTGACTGAAATTTTTCCTCAAATTCAAATTCGTAGGCAAGCGATAGGCGAGACAAACGAAAGCACAGCTTTATGATCGAAACCGCGTCCGGTGAGAGGCACTACCTCAGCGTTGAGTCTTCCGAAATCTTGCAGCAAATTCGAAGGGCTTGGAATCGCTGCACTTATTACGCAGTTACTAAAATGCGAGTAAGTTAAATTGAATCCAAACTAAAAGGTTCTAACTAAAAGGTTAATTAATTATGGAGTAATAATTATTGGAGTACACATCAAACATTCATTATGTGGAGTATATCTTAGTACTCTTGATGCATTATATCAGGAATTAAGAACATTCGACTGCTCTTGCTCCTAAAATCTCTCAACACCTGTGGTATCTTTATTTCATGCTTCTGCATCGATCAAGCTGCAGAGCTGTATATTTTAAACATAAAAAGCATTTGAAATATGTTGACGAGTGTTTGTCATTCAAATCAAACTTCTCTTCAAAATCACATATGAATACAGGTAATGCTGTACATGAAAACAATAATACAGATGCATCAAGATCGAAATCCTACTTATAGAAACGGTTTCCACGTGCACCAGATTATTAGTGGAAAAAATCAAATCATCTCATTCAACGCGTTGCAATCATCATCGATATCAGTATTATCATAACCATTATCAATATCGTCATGGAAACTATCATTGCAGTTCTCATCATCATCGTAGTCATCACCCTCCCCTCGCTCCCCATAGAGCTCCGCGTATTCTTTGGAGTACGGCGCCAAGCTCCACAAGCTTCGCTACATCTTTGATCGCGAAGTCGCTGTCTACACACCAGACACACTGTTGAGGTTGTTTGTTATGTTTTTATGTTTCAGACATTGTAGAACAACATGAATATCAACTGTTTTGTTCAGAAGCGTACTTTTGCGTGTGTCAAAGACGAGCGCCCTTCCGGACTAGTGATCGACTTTCTTCAAGGAATTGGACTCTACGACATTCCGTCAAAGGTACTAAGAACCGAAATAGGTTCGTATATTTCAGAGCGATCCATGGTTAAGTACACTAGAGCAGGAAAGTAAATATGTCGGTTCATAAGCATTATTCCTGGTGTACTACTATGGATTATTTATGCCCTATATTCCAATCAACATATCTATACTTGGCTGGAGGATGCATATTGCCAGTTTTTCATATTGTATGCAAAATATCTTTCCCCATATTTTAACCGTACTATCACGGTCACAACAGGTCCAAACATGTCAAGAATTCTCTTGACCCAATACTTAATATGGAAAGGTATACCATATGATACTAATGTCAATAATAACGAGGACTATGGTAACTCATATGCTATTTGAAGCTGTTCTACGTTGCAGAATGACTACAAGGCTAAACGAAATGATTATGTTTATTAAATTATGTCATGCCAGCTTCGTCTGAACAGTTTTTAGTGACTTATAGCCATGATTAATACCGCAGTTGTTTATATCATTGTGTGACACCTAAAGATATACAGATGCCTTTTGGTCTAAGACATGTAATGTCGATGCAGTTTATGTAGCGCATCGACCTTTATTGAAACATACATTATTCTGCTAACAAGATCAGTCTTTCAGACATTCATTCAGTAGCATAATTAATTGGTGTAACTTTCAGACAGTTGAATTATGAACACCGTAATGGCAGCACAACACAGAGGCATAGCCATGATATAGACTTGTAAAGTAGTAGTACTTATATTCGAAAATTTTTCCGTCATGAATATTAACATTAATTAAAACTTTGAATGGCTGTTCAACACGCTATATGAAAGAATAGCTAAACGTGACTGTCTTAAACTTTTGTCGAATTCAGTAACTTACGGAATAAGACGG